ATTCCCGCCCCGGGATGGGACAGCCGGGAATGTCCCGGCCGGGATGGAGCGGACCCACTCCCGCGCTGACAGGCGGCCCCGCGCATGCGCCACAGCGCAGCAGGCGCGCCAGGCCCCGCCTCAGCCAACATAGAGTCGGAGAAGTAACGGTGTTAGGAAAGGAGCTCACTGTGCCCCGTCCGGTCCTTCCCTAAACACCTGCGGGGACGTCACTCCGCCACCTCCATGGGCAGCCCATTCCAGTATTTGACCACCCGTCCTGTGGAGAAGTTCTTCCAAATGTCCAACTTAAACTGCCCCTAATGCAGCTTGTCCTCTTGTCCTGTCACTTATTACCTGGGAGAACAGCTCGACTCCCACCTGGCTACAGTCTCCTTTCAGGGAACTGTAGAGAGGGATAAGGTCCCAGCTGAGCCTCCTTTTCTCCAGGATAAACATCCCCAGCTCCCTCAGCTGCTACTCACTGGATTTGCGCACAAGACCCTTCACCATCTTCGTTCCCCTTCCTGAGATGAGGGGCCCAGAACTGGACACAGTCCTCCATGTCCACCACCTCCCTCACATCCTGCCTCAGCTGCCTCCCTGGGCCTTCCCTTTTGACGGGCTGTCAAAGCACTGCCTGTGAGGTGAATGTGTCCTAGAGATTTCTTATACCTTTATTCCACAGACGAAATGCACTGCCCCCCTTTTCCCACTGCCACTTGGCTTGTTCTCCACAGAGCTGGTCATGGCAGGGGTCACTCACTGCCCTCATTTCGTCATCCTCATTTTGTCTCCTCAGCACCTCCTGCTTGTTGGTTTGGTACTTCTTAAACATGTTCCCAAAAGTTAGGCTTCCACTTTCCCATGACCCTGCCAAGTGCTTCCCTTGGCTCAGGGCAGCATCTTTGTCACCAGTGGTCAGGGTTGAGTCAACTGTGGGTGCTGGTTAAAGAAATATGTGTGAAGCCACACAACTGACTCGAGAAGCTGCTGATACAAGTAATTAAGGCACAGATATTTATTCAGCAATTGGTAAAACTGTTGTAGTCTGTTGCTCTGACAAATACTTAATCAGCATTTAAGAAAAATAATTGTATAAAGTTTCGGTCCATCACCACCTTCCTAAACTGTGCTGTGAATTGTGCAGTACTTTTATAAAAACCTTCCAGGAAGTCTGTCAGCATTGTGGGATACAAGATAAAATTGTGATCTATAAAATTTAGTATGTGCATAATTTTATTCTTGCAAGTAGCTTCATTTTAAGCAAAGTCACACAAGTACCAAATACATACAGACCACATATACATGAGACCACATATACATGAGACCACATATGTACAAGAATTGGGATCTCAAATGCAAGAGGCCAGTCAGACACAATTATATTCACAGAAAACCAGAGAAGGTGGTTTACAGCACAAGTACCGTATTTCCTGCATGTATTCTGAAGGCCTCAGTGGGCGAAGCATAAGAAAACCTTTATGATGGTGGCCTGACTAATCACATTCCTGACTGAACCAAGGGCTGTACACAAAATATTTAAGTAACCCATAAATAAAAGCAGGCAGTGTTAACAGAGCCAGTTCAGATAATTCGAAATGCTGAATAGAACTCAGAACAACCTAGGGCCGAGCAGTGCAAAAACCAGCAAGCCTTCTCTTTAAGCCCAATTATGTGCAAAAGGGCCTATGAGATATTTCCTTTCAACTCATGACCAACTTTTCTGCTTGCAGTGCTTATTTTCTATTCCTTTACTCCTGGATATCAACTTAATATTTGTTTTCATAGCATGGTTTTATGCTGCACACATATGCAAATGTTTATGTGGAATATGCCTATATGGAATATGTAGACTTATTAGGTACTTAGTGTGGGACATACTAATGTTTGTCCAGAGAATGAACAGACAAAAGATTATAAGGAGCTTTCATTCCAAGAAGGCAAATGTATTTTCAAGCCAATGTCTTATAAACACATTCTCTTGTTTTATTTCTTTCCGTCAAAGGTTCTCGTAAACACGAGTGCCCTCAAGTACGTACTCGATTAAACAAAAAACATACTCTGTTTAAAATGGCAGATTTGTGTTTCAGAGTTTCAAACTGTAAGTGTAGACTCTCTGCTTGGTTTTAAAAAGTTGTGTTTAGGAAAGAAAAGAATGGAAAAGTGCATATTTGCAATGAGGTCAGTGGTCTATATTCTTATATGGTTGTTCTTTGTAACAGACTTATTGTAACATCTGGAAAATCTGATTTCTATGAGAAGGAAAAAACCTGCAAATCTAGTCTTGAGTAACAAAGAATTCCAAATAATAGTTGTTAGAATTATTGATTTGGGCATTGTTGGCTTTAGTGAGGAGGACTTTAGGTCTTCTTGGATCAATTTAGACAGTAAAAGAGGGAGTTCCACTCTTTATCAACTTATTTATACAACTCCTCTACTTCCTTTTAATAAGAAAAGCATCAGTATAGCAAAGATATGTATTGTCTGAAGTATCAAGGGAATATTTCCTGCTTCACAGAAATGTTAAGCTGGAATGCAGTACTAATTCATGAAGCACAGTGGTCTTATCTTACATAGGAAATTTGACAGTGTAAATGTACACTACTAATATTTTTGGGTTTATTCTAGTTATCTATAAATTAGTAAAACATACATATAAAAATAACATGCTTGGTGTCCAGCATAAAAACTATGATATTGTTGCTGGATGAGCACATTTCAGTGATTTTTAACTTAAACTTCTTCGATTTTTTTACTGTAGTCTGTTGTTGTAATACTGATTATGTTACTTTAAGACACTGTTAGTTTGGTTCCTCTTAGTATAATCATGTGGAATCCCCAAAACACTAATATGTTCTATTGAAAGTGCACAGGATTGGCTTTTTTTGAGCAAACTGTGGGATCAAGACCTTATTTATTTATAATTTAATAGAAAACTTTGCTGAGTTTGCTCTGCTTTGGAATGCACACCTTTTAATAGCCATTCTCCTGAATAATTTACATACCCCAGAATTTACAATGACAAAGAGGCAAAAAGGTATTCCACCAGGAATCTGGTTTAAATTGACAAAAAAATGAAAGCAATGTTTTAAACAGTTCTCTCACCATTCACTAGATGGCAGCTGATCTTCAAGAATGGCTTTCTTTTCTCCTTTCAGATCTGATAATGTGGAGGGAGTAGTCATCAGTTCTTGGAGAAAATCTTGTCCGGCATTGTCTTCACTCCATTTCTAATATGAAACTGAAAAACCAGAACAGTGAGTGTTCAGATTATTTTCAGCTTCATTACTGAAGTAACTGTGTTCGAGATTTTTCTTGTCGGGCTTGTTGCAGTTTATTTCTGGGGAAGATTGTTCCAATTTTGCTTTCATATTTAGTGAGCCAGATCATCTTCTCTTCAAGCAGAATGTACAATACTCTGATAATATTCTAAAAATAAAGATTAATATTTCTGATTTTCTTTTTTATATGTCTATTGGGTTGTCATAGAATAATGCTCAAAATTCCCAGTTATTATAACTCACAAAATAAAAATAATTATGTCTTGTTACAATAATTCCCTGCATACAAAGTAAAGAAGGTATTAAGCTGATTATAATTTTGGTAAGTTTGACTATATCTAGTACCAGAACTGAAAATTTTATTTAAATGGTCTAATTAAGAGTGTCTTTAACACAGGTTTTTTCATGGTAGGTGGATTTGAAAATGTGGTATGATTTTCTATTAATCAAATAAAGATAGTTCAAAGTAAGTAGATGGCATGTAGATACTTTAGGGCAGGATTTTAGTATTTGGGGAGGTTCTTTGACTAAGTATAAATGTTGTATTATAGTTATGCACATTTCAAACACCAGGCTTTGTTATAACAAAACTTCATGAGGAAATTGTAAAGATGTGCTCAGAAAAGGAGTGGAAAGAGCTTTTGCATGTCTGCATGTCTTTATGGGAGGGCCACCCTCACTGTGTTTACTTAATTTTCTAGTGAGCATCCAGTCTTGTATCTTTACAGGGAAAATGTTCCCATTGCAGTCAGTAGGAATTTTGGATGGGAAGGCATATGAGGTTGGGCCCACCCCTTAAGAGTGTGACACCAGGCTGTGGGGAAGTTACTGCACCTTAGATAGATACCACTGGTGCATCTCTGCTGGAAATCACTGCCATCCCAGCACAGGCATCAGAAGGAATGTGTGCCTGCCCCTGGAGTCTTCCAATGGAAACTCACTTGTCTCAGCTTAAGTTGCCAAGGAAAGGATTTTATGTTAACACACCACATTTTTTGGGGGGAGTGACTGGAGTCACAACTGCTCATTCCATTCTCTTGACACTTTGGGGTGGAAGCCTTTCCAGAAGGGGAAAACAGAGGGGACAGATAGTTAATAAAGACACATTTTCCCATTTGTCAATGTTTGTCTTCAGTACCTTTCGACTATTGCTTAGGGATGCTGGGTTATCTGTTTCAGCATAACAGATAATCCAGTGGTTCACTAAATCTTATTTTGGATGTGGAATAGTGAGATCCTTGTGTGGTATTCAATGTAGGAATGAGATGATGAGTATTATAGAAGGACTATTCAAACTGGAGGGACTTAGCAGTAAAATGGCAGATGAAATTCAGTATAAATGAGAAGTGCTGCACAAAGAGAGTAGTGACCAAAGGGAAGGGTCACTTTTATAGCATCAGGATAGATGATTTCATGAAAATGTCAGCTCAGTGCTTGATGTGCAAAAAGCAGGTCAAATGTTAGCATTAATTAAAGAAACAGAGAGCAGAACAAAAACTATCTCAGTCCCATTGTGTAAGTTTGTGGTACCCCTGTACTTTAGATATTGTGTGTGCTTCTAATCTCTCCTCAAAAATATGTAATGGAACTGGGGAAGGTTCAGAGAGGGCAGCAGGAATGATCAGAATGATTTTCCCCTGTTTTTCTTCTAAGCTCTCTCAGGGCTCGGAGGGCACTGACAGGCCTTGATTACCCTGAGGGACTCACCTGAGTTCCAGCCACACCTCTGCCTATGAGTCCCAAGCTCTATTTAAGCCCAGGCTGGGGCACTTAGGTCTGGATGGTCTGAGCTGCAGGAGTGTGGTTTCAGAGCTGGTTGTGATATTGTTTTGGGTCTTGCTGGGACTGAATTCCTGGTTTGTATGTGGACCTGGTCTTGTTGGTACAGGTTTGTCTCATGGTCTGGAGTCTTGTATATTTTTCCTAGACTTGTATTGCTTGGGTTTAGCAATACAGCTTCTTAGGCTGTGCCTTGCAGGCCTTGTTTTCAAATTTGGTTACTGGTTTCCTATCCCTCCTAGAGCTGCTCCTTGCTGTTCTCAAGGTCTGCTTTGCAGCACTGCTCACATGTTAATAGCATGTAGTAATTTGTACTTTTCTTTACAAATGTGGACTTTCTTCTTTGGGAACTGTTTCAGTTACTTGTAAGGTTTTATATTTTACTTGCTTGTTATTCAAGTTGTCAGGAAACTGCTGTCAGTTGTTATGAGTGTCTGAAACTATATTAGAGTTTTTGAGTAGATACCACATACTATCATCTCTTGTAACTTACTTTTGGGGAGTCCTGTTTGTAACCTTTATTTGTAGTTTAATTATCTATTGGAAGGTAGAGTATTTTATTCCATTTTAAAAATAAGGAAACAAATGCATTCTAAAAAGTACATGTTATTAAAGGTTATTATTAGAATTTTTGGAGGTACACTGAAACTTGTGTTGTTCTCTACTGAAGAGTCCTTACAAAGCATGTTATTATTGTTGTAGAAGTTCTTTACACTTTCATTTATGCATTTATACAAGTGGTGAGGAAAGCTACAAGAAACAAAGTGTTAATATA